AGCTTTCGCGTGCATGCACACCTCTTCAAGTATTTAAAGCCGACACCCTTCTTTTCCATCACTGCCTGTAGAGCAAATGATCCCCAACCAGATCCTTAAATGTGTTTATATTGCCTGCCTTCTCACTGAGAGGATCCTCTGTTTTGCATTCACTGTTGCTAAGAATGCAGAAGCACACACAATGACAATGGAGCATCCACATGGAAGTTTTCTGTGCTTTCCTCCATCAGCCACTGTCCCCCCCCATTTGTCCCCCCCCCGCATGAGAGTGTGTTTTCTTTTTAGACTAGCAATTGCCATATAACGTTATAAGGGGGGTCCCCAGTGTGGGTCCTATGGGCACCATGGTACCTGCTCACGCCTTTCCTGGCACCCGCCAAATGCTTTTAGAGAGTGGGAGGGGCTAGAGGGCTGGTTGCCTAGCAGGGCATCTGATTGGCTGTACAAATCAAAAGGCATCCTGTTAAACAGAGCTTTCTCTCTGAAATGTCAAAGAGTTACTCTTACAGTTACATGTAACCTTGCTCCCTGACCATCTATGCTTGGCTCCTCCTCTTCCTGCAGCAACCATTTTGTGATTGGCTGTACTGCCTGTGGCAGTCATTTTTTGATTAGGACCATCCCACCATCCAGTGCCAGACTTCCAAAGATGCTCACAGGCTCAAAAAGGTTAGGGACCCCAGTGCCACAACAATGACCAGAGAAATACCTCCGGTAACGCAGAGGGGGCGATTGCGGATGTGAAGGACAGGCAGAAGAAAAACAGTGCCAATGTGGACGGGACTTTTGAAAATTCACACCTCCCCGTCCAGAAAGTGTGCGGACGTGCTTGGACTGTGATCTCTCAGGGTCCGACGTACCTGAGGGACTGCCTTTCCCCATATGGACCCGAGAGCACTACGGTCGGGGGCCCAACATCGCCTTGTGATCCCAGGCAGCCGAGAGGCCAGGCTTGTGGCAACCAGGGCCAGGGCTTTTTCGGTGGCGGCTCCTACCTGGTGGAATGAGCTCCCGGAGGAGATCAGGGCCCTGCGGGACCTTTCACAGTTCCGCAGGGCTTGCAAGACACAGCTCTTCCTCCAGGCTTTTAATTAGGAGCCACTACTACCACCAACTATTATCACTGGGTTTGCCCTATATGAAGATCGAGCCACAGCATCGTGATAGATCGATCACCCCTGAATCGAGACTTAGTGTTACATCTACAGTACACTATCTAACATCACTGAGCACTTTAATTGTATTATATGGTTGTTTTTTTATCTTGTTTTATATATTTGCATATGTTTTATATATCTGGCACACGGTGCCCTAAACTGTGAGCCGCCCTGAGCCCATTCGCGGGGAGGGAGGGATAGAGATAAAATAAAGGTAACCAATAGAAGCGGGGCAAAGGGAGGTGCAGCTCTTGTGTGAAATCGGTCTGAGTGTGGAGAGAAAAAAACCCCTGCCGCATCTGACCTATTCGTTATTGCTGGTTGTTTTGATTTTAATGTTTTATACTGGCACTTGCTCCCATTTGGAACCCAAGGCAAAGAAAAACATCCTTGTGGAAGCAACTGTTGCCTAAAAATTTCTCAGGAGTTGTGGCAAAAGGCATACATTGCCAAAAGGTTAACAGTGTAGAAATCAAACATTGTGGCTTCCTGGACAATTACTGAAAGACATTTTTCAGCACAATATTCCAAATTGCAATAGCAGTTACATTTCCCTAAAGAAAGCTTACACACATTGAGGTTCCAGGCACAGCGTGATTTTACCGCAATGAGAACCATATGTTAGCCAACGAGCTCATTCAGAAATGCACACTATTTCCATAAACTTACTTGCAAAAGGCACACTGAAAGAATCTGGAAGGGGACTTAACGAACCACCAGCACTAGTAAATGCGCATTTAGGACATACCAACTAGTATCCCAAGAATACCTGTGCTTTAAAATTGCCTTTGCAATTGCATACCTGTCAACAGCTGCAAGACACAATCCCCACCCTGCCCCACCAGCAGTTAAGGTCTCTGCCTCTCCCATATCCACATAAGCTCACAAGACATTTAAACCTGAATGACAGCCTACCACACTGCCCACACCCTTCCTTATTTTCAATGCGTAGCTCTAATTAATTAATTATCATAAGGCATTGTGTGTAGTATAGCCAGGAGATCCTAAGATTGTCTGGCAGCCTTAAGTTCTAGGTCTTTTAGTGGCCAGCTAGACTTATTTTGGGGCTGAAAGAGCTCTGAAAGAGCTGTGACTGATCCAAGGCCACCCAGCTGGCTTCATGTGGAAGAGTGCGGAATTGAACCTGCTTCTCCAGATTAGAGTCCTTCAGTCTTAACCACTACACCATGCTAGCTCTCTTATCAGTACTACTTTTCCAGTTAACAGGATTGTTGGTAGTAGGTGTTGGGGACAGAACTTCTGCTGTCCAGATCACCAGATAAGACCCTCTTCCTAAGCCCAGGTCTCTATGCCCCTGCCAGCAGAGGACTGGGGGGTAGCAACCAGAGCCAGGGCCTTTTCAGTGCTGGCACCTCCAGGAGCACCTAGATGAACCAATGATCTGGTTGGTATAAAGAAGCTCCTCAGCTGGGCCAGGGTTCATATCCCCATTAATTTCAGCGGGCAACCTTGAGCCAGTCACAATCCTGTAGCATAACCGACCAGACAAGGTAAGGGTAAGAAAGGAGAGGAGAGCGGTGCATACTGTCCTGAGCTCCCTGATGGAAAACAGAGCCAAAGAAAAACAGCCATGTGAACAAGCAAACAAGGGTTAGATTAGAATCCAGGAGCACCTTAGAGACCAAACAAAATTCTCAGGGCATGAGAGTCGAAGCTCCCTTCGTCAGATACGAGTAGGAACGGAGATCTCTGAGTCTTTATGTCCCAGTCAGAAAGTGGGAGGAGTAAAGAAGGGAGTCAGGATGCATAGGTACAATGCACAGTGTCATCAGCTTGATTACAGCAGAGGAGAACTGCTTAGGGGCAAAAAGGTTAGCAACGCCCCTCCCTTCGTCAGACTGGGACCTCCATTCTGATTTGTTTCTGATGAATGGAGTTTTGACTGTTGAAAGTTCATACCCCGAAAATCTTGTTGGTCTCTAAGGTGCTTCTGAATCTGAATCTAGCTCTTCAACTGCAGACCAACAAAGTTGTCCTCTGAAGCTACAATTGCTGCTCTCTTGTCTAACAGTATGCCCCATTTAGTTTCTTCCCATATAATGTCATTGCAACAATAAGATTGGCACTTTGTTCCATGCGGTGGAAGTGTCTGCCTGTGCAGGAATGTTGGAGCAAGATATTTGCTCTGGTTTCTGGAACATTTGGAGCACTGAAATGGGCTGGGGGGGGGGGGGGGGGGGGGGCAGCTGCCACTGATTTTTTAAAGACTTTGTTTTCTTGTTCTAGTGCCTTAATCAAGAATGTCATGTTTCTTTTAAAATGGGGTTAGAGCAAACATAAGAGAACATAAGAGAAGCCATGTTGGATCATGCCAATGGCCCATCCAGTCCAACACTCTGTGTCACACAGTGGCCAAAACCCAGGTCTCATCTGAGGGTCCACCAATTGGGCCAGAGATCCAGAAGCCCTCCCACTGTTGCCCCCCCCAAGCACCAAGAATACAGTGCATCACTCCCCCAGACATAAGAACATAAGAGAAGTCATGTTGGATCAGGCCAATGGCCCATCCAGGTACCATCTGGGGGTCTACCAGCGGGGCCAGAGATCCAGAAGCCCTCCCAACTATGGCCCCCAAGCACCAAGAAGACAGAGCATGACTGGGTGTGGGGTTTTTTAGATTGGTTTGAATCAGTACTTTAGATAGGCAGGTGTACTACTCACTGGTTATGGCTGTGTCCAAAAAAATGTGGAAGGAGCCAATGGATCTAGAGTAGAGGTCCCCCAATTTTTGTTTTTTAAATTTAATAACATCTTCTGAACAATTGACTATATCTAGTTATCTCTTCTGATATTTTTCTAGCACTTTAATTTAACTCAACCTATTAAAATGTGCAGCACTTTAAGTAAGGCTATCAATATAAACTTCAATTCTATCCAACTACTATTTATTTATTTATTTATTTAGACTTATACCCCACCCTCCCCGCGAGTGGGCTCTTAGTTTTAAACCAGCTTTCTTTAATAACCACCCTCCCTACCCCAAAACCTGTACAAGCTTCTAAAGTGTCGTATATATAATTTTAATAGCAATTAACTTCCTTAGAACTCGAAAACAGAACTTATTATCTCAGGACTTATTTCCCCGATTACAAAATATATCTTTGTAATAACATTGAAGTCAACTATAGTCTTACAAATAACCAAAACTCTCTCTAAAGCAGGGGTCATTTCCTGCAGGAGCGCACAGGAGCGGAGCTCCGGCAGTAAAGAGCCCAGGGGGTGGGTACATGCAACAAGCCCCACCTCCTGCTCCCAGCAGCCCTCAGTCAGAGCAAGAAGCAGCCAGGTAAGTTGCAGAGCCCTCCCCCGGCCCCCCGGTCCAAAACAGTCCAGTGGCACCTTTAAGACCAAGTTTTATTCAGGTACAAGCTCTCCCTCCTCTGCAAGGACAGATCTGCACGTCCCCCCACCCAATAGCTAGCAATCCAAAACAGTCCAGTGGAGCCTGAGCAGTGGGGGTTGCCTTCTGACACACTTCCGGTGATGTCAGGGGGTGTGGCTTATGCAAATGAGTTATGCTAATGAGCTCCTGCACCTCTTTTTCTACAAAATGACCCCTGCTCTAAAGTCTGGAAAAAATTAATTTTCAGGGCCATCCACCATTAGCTTGACTGACTCACCACCAAGTCAAGTTCTCTAGGCATTTACTGCCTTCCTTGGGGACTATCTATTCCTATCGGGAGCCCGAGATTCCAAGTAACCCCCTCCCTCCCTCCCATGTAATCTAGATAAATTAAGCATTTATGTAAGTATACTGCAATAATGTCAAAAAGAAAGAAAAAAGTTTTAGCTATCAGCAGCAGAACAGATGTAGTTTTAAACCTCTGCAAGCTGTTTTCCCGTAGTTAGTGCGAACCATGTGGTCATGATAACTGTCGGACTTGGATTTTGGTGTCCTTTGGTGGCGTTGTAGGAAAAGTTAGCTTTCTTTTCTGTGTTTTCTTTTCGGGGTCCAGTGATGCTTCAAGGTTTAAAGATTGTAAAAGTCCACAACCAGTTTGTTCATCATCCACACAATGGGCTCTACCTTGGTGCACAACTTGGATTTTTGTTGGTGTTATCCACTTATAGTGAAGATTTGCTGCCTGAAGCTTAGATGTTATTGGCTTCATTCTTTTTTCTTCTTAGAGCTGCTGAAGAGATATCAGGGAATACTAAGACTTGGTTTCCCTGGTGTTGAAAACATCTTCTTGACCTTGCCTCATTCAGTATTTTATTTCTTGATTGCATATCTGCAAATGTTGCAATTACATCTCTTGGACCCTTTCTTCTGGGATTGTTTATAGAGCCAAATCTAAAAGCATGTACTATCACTGGTGCTATTCCTTCCTCAAACTCAATTCCAATGCCAACCAGTTAGCCACATAGCTTGATAAATTCGTTGTGCCTTCTGAGTGTTCATCTATCCCTCGAAATTTCAGGTTGCATTGTTTTATGGCGTTTTCCAGTGTCACAAGATTTTCCTTGTTTGATCTTCATTAGATTATATAGACCACACCTCCTCCTGATTCATCAAACTTAGTTCCATTGCACTCTCAGCAGTCAAGAGAGACTTGCTTTAATGAAGCCTTGATCTTGTCCAATTGTGAGGCCAGTGGTTTCAACATGATTGAAATTTCATCTAGTATCTCCGTCTCCAGTGCTCTCAGGTATGTTGTAAAATTGCTCTTTGTTAGTAGCACTTCTCCTTGAGAAATTATCTCACCATCACCCGCCATCTTGTGTTCCTTCTCGTGAGGTCTTTTCTTCCCACTAATCCCCCGACAGGAAATATGTTTGTAAGGGGTGAGATTTTGCAAGAGAGGGGTTGTTCTTACTCCCCCCCTTCTTCATATTTTGAGGAGCCTGTCTGCCGTTTTTCATTGATTATTGAGTCAAAAGGGAGGTGAGGAAGCTGGAGCCCTGGTCTCAAACATCTACCATTACTCCGCTTGACACCGCAACCCCTGTCCCCCAACCTTTTTGAGCCCGCAGGGACCTTCAGAATTCTGAAAATGATGAGAGGCATAACCACAAAATGGCTGCCAAAAGATACAGTGTCACACACACACACAGAGGAAGCCCAAATTCAAAGGACAAGAGGAGTAATTTTAAAAAATACAGTGGGGGACAAAATGACAAGAAAGCTTAAAAATCAAGAAGCAGAAGACTTTTTTGCAGATTGGAAGGACTTCAAAGACTATATGGAGAAATACTGGGATGTTAAAAACAATTTATTTTGCTTAGACAAATATTAAGATTTAGATTAGGTTATTTAGATTAAGTTTAAACATATATAGATTTAGAGATAAAGAGATTCGTTATCTTTAATAAATATATAATATTAAAGAATTGGGAAAGGGGGTGAGCTAAGAGAGAATTGGAAGTTTGCGCACTGTGGGAAGTCAGAAGGGGGGGTATATGGAAGAAAAAAGGATATGATATAACTTGTTACATGAATTATAAGTTTACTTATTGTGATATCCTAATAAAGAGTTTTTAAAAAAAACAGTGGGGAAGAGGAGCAAGAATAAAACCAACACTGTGGTGGCTGCTGCCGCTGCAATATTGTTTTAATCTGCCCAGTCTGTCAGATCTCCAGTGGCCAGCAATGCTCCCTCTAAGCTGTGGAGTCTTGTGAGCAAAAATTCTACTTCATGAGCTACTGGCATTAAAGTTGTGAGCGAGTGATTTGGCTACTGCATAAATTATTTGCTCTGGAGCCATCCTTCCTGAGCTAAGACAAAAATGCATTTAATTTGGATTATAAATATCTACATCCTATTATCTGAAACATAAACTAAAACCAAGGAGAAAGAAGGAAGAATT